ATATTTAATAAAATTTAATAAATATGTTACCCTAAAAACTAAATACTATAGTAGTCCAACGCTATATAAGCTAATAACAAAGCCAAAGCTCCAAATGAAATTATTTATCATTTAATCGCTTAAATTAATAGAATATTACCCACTTGGAACTTATTTAATATTTTATAAGCGTAGATTCACGAAAAACTGACCCAAACTTCTCATAAAATAACTTAATTATACATGAAAAACTTAAGACAATGTAAGATCAATATGGAAGCCTCTTTCTCAACGTATGTAAGATTTTTTTACACTAAAATCATTCAAAATGATTGCTTTAATTGTTCCCATTATCAGTTTTATGAAGATATGATCTAAACTTGCCTTAAATTGGTTTAAAAGTCGGAGACTTCAACGATGGGTTAAGAACTAAACCTCCTTAAGTCAAAGAAGTTCTTAACCAATTGTAATAACAGATCCATATGAATGATAACAAGGTTAGGTTAGACATAAAACAGAAGCTCAAACATATTCTACATACAAATAGAGATAATATTTTCTACGATAAATTGAAATCAGGCCTGATGTATATTTTACACTTACATAAATTATTTAGTAGAGTAAATCACGTATGCGCGTTAATAAATCGGCTACTAAATGTAGTCTGTCAAATATTATTAACATAGTTTTAATGGTTGGCTGAAAAGTTAAGTGCAGGAACGTTATTATTATTATTATTATTATGTATGTTACAGAGCGTAACCAATTAGGTACCTGTGCGCCTCAACGTTAAACATTTAACCCTGGGACTTTAACTTAGATTAGCATCGGTAATGCGATATTTAATTTACGTATCTATCGCATATTACGTGGCCAAAGGTGTGAAAACAACTAAGTAGTTATTTATCAAGCAGGCGTAGATAATAACGGCGAAAACGGACAAAAATGTTTGAGACGATTTATACGGGAAATGGCGTCTAACCGCCATAATTATTATTGAATAAAATAATTCGAAGTGGTCTGTATTCTGTCGAAACTGCCAGACGCGGATCGCGATTTCGGTCTTTTAGGATCTCATCAGCGCGACACAGAACACAGACCAACTTTTACCTACTGTCTTAACAGCGCGTTTTAGAAAATACCACAAATGGCGCGGCAAACGCCATCTGTAGTACGATGCTACATTTTAGGATTACGTATTATTATTGTTAGAAATCTGAATTTGTAGACCGTATTTTCTTTATACTGTTTTAGTTTAAAACGTAATATGGAAATAGCGTTTATTTCAGATTTACTGCGTTTTCTTCTAATGAATTCATTATAATCAGTTTTAATTTATGCCTTAATGTAATTTATTGTTCGACAAGGCTTGCAATTTTACATCAGTATTCTGTCATTACACATTTTTCACCTAATTGCTCACTTTTTGCGCGGGTTTTATGGCTTTCAACACACCCTTTATGTCTTTGACAATAATAATAATAACAATAATGGTACTTTAGTAATAATAACAACTTTGAGATCGACATATTTATTTATTTATTAATGCTCATGGATATCTAGATATCTGCATTACATCATAAAATTATGAATATTCAAATTCATTTCGTTCTGTGACATACAATACTTAGATACTTGTGCCTGTAATAAATAATAGTTATACTTACATATAAAAAGCTTAGCGCGTGTTTATTTTTCAAATACCCTTTGCCTACCTATAATAATAAGCAACAGCCGATAATTAGTTGCGCAATAGCAATTAGGGTTAAAACTTTTAATTACTGTGGCAGTTGAGATCACACCATTGCCGATAATATAGTTTCGCCAATTGCGATTATAGATACAAAAACTGGAAAATCTTTTGCATAGATATGCAAATACTTTTTTAATTGCGCCAGTACTCATGGTATAAGGTATGTCTAATGGCGTATTTGTTCATTTATTAAATCGATAATGGCTTACAACTGCAGCATTACCTAATAATATATGTTACTATTGCAAGCAGCAGTAGATACAATTAACACGTTTTAAATATCAATGTCAAATTTGTAGAATATTTGTTGTTTGTATTTGAACTGTTTGGGGTAGGTAACCATATTATTTTATTGCCCTTGCCCCTGGTTGGATTAGGTAGATACTTTTACACATTATAAATACCAACATAGTAGGTTTTCCTCGCGGCTTTGCTCGCGTTAATGTCCTAAATACGTGTCAAAAGTCATCGATGACCAGATAAAACTAATTTTACTATACCTCGGGAACAATATCTTTTTTATTTATATATATTTGAACTGTTTGGGGTGGTAAGTAGAGAGTTACAAAGATAGAAAAGTGATACATAGTTGATATAAAGAGCAAAAGGCAGTTATAAAGCTAGAGAAGCAATGTAGAGAAGTGAATATTAGGAAGGGAGTCAGGCAGCATGGAAGAGTTAGAGATAGCTTTAAATAAAATAGAAGCGGTATTGACAAAACACTATTGTATGAAAATAAGTAAAAGTTAAACAAAAATACAGGTATACAAGGGAAGAAAATGTAGGTAAAGGGCGAACATAAATATAGGAGACGAAAAATTAAAAGAAGTGGTTGATTTTAGATATCTAGGATATCAGATAAGTGAGAACGAAGGAATAGTAGGGATATAATGCAGAGGATAGTGCAGGGTCGAGTCGTCTTCAATAAAAAGATGTCATTTCTATGCTCGCGAACGATTAATTTAGAAATTCGAGAAAATTGTTAAAAATGTATGTTTGGAGCACGGCACTGTACGAGTGCGAAACATGGACGGTGGGCGCGGCGAAAAAAAAAAGGTTAGAAGCGTTCGAAATGTGGTGTTACACACGAATGATGAGGATACCGTGGATACAGAAAGTTAGAAATGAGGAGCTATTAGAAAGAATAGGAGAACAAAAGACTCTATGAAAGTCAATAAGAAATAGGCGAGATAGGTTGGTAGGACACCTTCTCAGGAATGAAGGTTTAGTTAGACACATATTAGTTGCTCTCATCAGGAGTAAAGAGGAGAGGAGGTAGACCTAGATTCGCAAATAGTTAAGGATGTAGGATGATGTAGTTTTAGCGATATGCGAAGATTAGCTCAAGATAGGAAGGAGTGGAGGTACGTGTCCAACCAGTTTTAGAACTTATGACAACCTTATGATGATGATATTACGATGACAAAATTTAAAAAAGAATAGAACAGTGTTGTATATAGATAGCACGTACCTATTATTTACGCATTGTACGAGAATTAATACGTTTTTTTTGAGGTTCCATATATGTCTTCTAAGCTTTTTCTACCTGTATTGACAACATGTATAAAATAAAACTATCAGAGGTCTAGTTCCGCAATCGCCTCGAGTCCGCTTTTTGTCGGTTCCGCAGTCTGTATTTCGCTACGTTCATCTTGATTTGCAGATAATTAAATGATAATCTTTGCGTAAGTTAAGAAATCCCACAGTTGTGTGTACCGATTTTCGAAAATTAATGGCTATACTATTTTAAAATTTATTTAACTGTTAAATAAGTTCATGAGATATACACTAGCCAAATATCGTTTCTTTTCGGATTTAATCATAATCACATGAAACTTTAAATGTTACACGGTAACATGGAACTTGCCATTGTATTTTTTAATACGAAATAAAATAAAAAGTCAAATAAATGCATTCAAAATTAGCCAAAAAAACTTTTGTATTAATGTCTCACCACTATAAAACTGAAAACCAAACAATTTTTTATCATTATTCGTTGTTTTTTTAGATAAATATTTTTGTAAAAATATGTGCCGATAGGCCAACAATTTTATTGTTTCCCTTGTAGCACAAATTTAGCTGTTCAAAAATTTTGGAAAACAACATAACATTGTTTGTTTACGTATATGCATACATATTATGTACCACTTTTCTTCATCATTAAAACTTCAGTCGAATGTAAACAATAAGTTAATTTGTTCATATCTAACAACTAATTTTAATATATAATATTAAATATATTACTTACATCATCGTCATCTAGTTGTCCATACACTTCGAGTTTATCCAATCGGATGGTCCCTTGAAAAGGATAGCAAAGGGACCCCTGCGCGATATGACTATTGCTCCATACAGAAACTTCGGGTTCAGTCTTTCGGGACCCTATAACGGCCCCTCTCACGCACAAGCTAAATTCTTGAGGAATTAATACACACGTTTCCATTATTTAGGTATTTGTTATATTTCGATTTTATCAAACAGTCAAAACAGATACGGGAAAAACAACGGCAAGAAACTGAATAACAATAATATTACTCAATTTAGCATATGAGCGATGTACTTTTACTATTATTGATGATGATGATGGAGGTGATGTTAATGTTGATAGTGGTAATAACACGTAATAACAAGATAAAGTCCATTTTATTTTAACAGAAACAGTTCGTAAAATAAACACTTTTTGTGCCTGATTCAACAGGTGCGAAAATCAACAGGTGCTAAACGTCATAACAAGTGTTTCTATCAATTATACTTGTTCAGCTCAATTTTGTTGCCTTTTTCTTATCACTAGTTGCCCTCAAGTCCTTTTGTAATGTGCCCAAATTTTGACACATAATAATAATTAATAAAAGTCCAGTTTTAGTATTTATAGATAATATCCTCTCTGTGACGAAAAATTGAGACACTATCGTCAACGACAAATCCTTATTACAGGATAACTTTTGTCACCACGTCACTATGAGTCAAAAATGTCCTTTTTATATCTTATTTAGCACTGGAGTAAAATATTATTATTAATCACGTTAATGGAAGTCCAAATAATTTTTAATTATTCACTTTTATAATCAGTTACATATAATTTTTTATTGTCAATAGTAAAAACCTAAAGGGGTTTAAAAAATTAGTTGGATAAAATTATTTTAGTTCGTTGTTTTGATCGCGTTTCGCTGGTTTGCCGGCAGCTGGTGCACGGGAGTCCGCGTGGACGTCGTCTTCGAGGAGTTATCGCGCGCGCTCGCCACGTTCTAGTGACCGTAGCCTTCTGGGATTGACAGTGAACTAGCATTGACCCTCAAGTCGCGGTAAAGGCCCCACTACATACACGTGCAGGACGGCCCTCGGCCTCGCCTCGACAGGTGCAAATCCACTACCTGAGCTCCTCCGCTAACTCTTTCTATCCTCCTCTCTTATTCTTCACCATCATCATCATCATCGTCATTATCATCTACTTCTCGATCATATTCAGAAGCCTTTCTAGTAGGTATAAGACCACGAAGGTGCCAGTTTGGTGCCCATACGTGTTACCAATCTGCTAAAAATTACAGGTCAACCAGAAATATCGTTTCCGACAAAGTTAGCAACACTGATTTTTAATTTTATTTTAAAATTTTCATACCTTTACGACCTTCGACTTTCAACCCTGAATCTTAACTTAATAATTAGAATGATGCTAAATTCACTAGTTCGGTTTTGAGATCAGGATATCTCAGAATTTCAACGTGCTAGAATGATTACTTTCATTTCAAATACTTTTCTTAGCTATCCACAATTCATTCAGCTATCCATAATACTTCCGTTTTCTGATACTTTTTTAACAGCCCATAATAGGGACTAGGCACTTTCATTACTGATACTTCCTTCAACTATCAACAATAGGGTCTACTTTCATTTTTTCATACCTTTTTTTCAGTTTTTTTTTAAGTTAAATCCATTACTTGCGTTTATCAAAAGTAGAATAATAAATTAATTAAAGTAGATAATACGTATTAGGATTAAAGATTTAAAGTCCGATGAAAATATTTACAATTTCCAGAAAAACTGACTTATTTTGTATAAAGGATAATGCTATCAGTAAAATGTAATGAAAAATGGAAGGTTTTTCATTGTACAACATATTACACTGATCAAAATCGAACTATGTCCTTTACCTACTTATTATTTTAATTTTAAACCAGTAAATATAAAATCTAATTAAATATGAATCGAACAAACACAAAACTGATAGATTGTATTAGCTAACATTTATTACGAAATTACAAATAATAATGCGAACCTAATAGGCATAATAGTAATCTAATAGAATCAGATTCTACTTTAAATAGTTATCACATTATTAAATGCGCTCTAATTTGAGAAAATAATTGCAAAATTATCGGCAAGGTATTATAATAGATAACGTACCTATACATGTACCTATGTAAATATTTACACGTGTATGTCCGTTACTTTATTTACCAACCCATATGGTAATTATTGTTCGTGTAACTGGGTTGCCATTATATCTATTAGTTTACTTCATTATTTATTTAGATAAGTGCAAGCATAAAACGCGTGAATGTTGAAATCAATTTAAAATTTACGGCTTTGTAAATGTTAAATTCACTTACATTATTATCACTATTATTTACCCCATCTACATGGACACGCAACAGCGCACAGCGATGAAAATCATAATTTTTATTAAAATTTATTTACGTTTAAACTGACTTTTTTCAAAAGGAAAGCGCAAAGAATTTTAGGAGAAAGGGAAGGGAGGCTGTAGAAAAATGTAGGCACCTTATCGAAAAGGTAGATAATGTCCAAACACTCAGTATTAAATTAATTCAAACTTTCTTGACCACGGTTCATATAATTGCTGATTCTTTCTGAGAAAAAGAACCATGGCAGAAGTCGTCCAAACAAGTCGACTAAACGTTGAGAACAACAAAGATTGATCAAAGCCATAATGCCTGAGAATTGAAGATTACACTCAGAAGTATAATAATAATCAGTGATGGCTAGTGATATACTAGGATTTATAAGGTCCCACAAATGAAATCAGTCGTACTAAAGTGAAATATGATGCCTTAGATATGAGTTTTTCATAAAAATCTTAATAGGGCAATCCCACCATCTGTCTTTTGGGATTCTGTTAGTCAAACATCAAATATAGGAACCCTTAGTAGAATGAAGATTCGGGCTATAGGGCCGTGATCTAAGTGAACTATTGTGTTCAGACGTTTCGTCAGCTACTGCGGCTGACATCGTCAGTGGTAGTGCTGCGTTGACAACGTGAACGTAGATTATATCGGCCCTATAGCCCGAATCTTCATTCTACTATGGATTCCGGCCGTGAAAGCCTTTGTTCTTATATAGGAATCCTTGTTAGACAATTGATTTCACCAAAATCATCGATAGTAAGACCCTAACTGGATTAAAAATATCTAATTTTTTGGCAGTTCCGCAGTTCTGTACCAGCTGTAAGTAAAAGTCCTCAATTCTGAAATTGAAGAGTCTTAACTGAGGTTTCCAAAAATGCTTTTATGCGGAACTTACAAATCTGATAGACTATCTACTAAGAAGTGTTTCATCATCATAAGGTCGTCAGTCCTAAGACTGGTTGGACACGTACCTCCACCCTTCCCTATCCTGACGTAAACTTCGCATTTCCCTAAAACTAGAACATCCCACATCCTTAACTAATTATTAACTAAAGAAATGTTTAATAAAGATTCAATTTAAAGAAATTTCACCATATAAACAATCATAAGTGTACACTATCTACGTATATTATAATCGTTATTGATACGATGGCCTTTAGCCTTGGTGACAACTCATTAGTATCGATTCGTTGATCAATACTTGTATAAGACGGAGCCGTTTTGTAAGCATCTTGACGTTTCACGTCTGATCGGACATCGAAGAGCGATTACGTAATTTTTTATGTGGAGACAAAACGTCACTCTTCATAAGTTTTTTATAATAAGACTTTCCCGAGTTGTCCAGGAAAACCACTCGATAAAAGGACGCGAGCAAGTCGCCAGGCACATATGCGCGATTTGCGTATTTAAAAACGTCTCTCTCCGGGCAAAAATAGCCTAGTGACGTGCGTTGAGTAGCGTTGCAGACACCTGAAGGTGGTAGGAGAATTTAAGTATAGTTGCAGACCAATAACAAGTCCGTTACGATAGCGGCCTTAGCCAATTAAACGTCGGCCACGCCTCCATTTGAAATTGCTTAAGTTATTTGCATACGTATGCCGTACTGAATGAAATACGCAGTTGTACGTATACCGAATCCAGTTTACTGTGATGATTTTTATTTTCGTTCTACAACGCGAGGCTGCTGCTTACCTTTATAGGATCAGTTTTAAATGTGTACGTACAGGATGTCCAAAACAAAGCTGCCCTGTTTTCAATTCTCTATAAAATCTTCTGTTTCCGTTATATACAGTGGAATTCGTTTATTATGACTCTGCCTATATTGACCAACCGCTTAATATGAATTAATTGCAGTGTTAAGTTTGGTTTTCATATTAAATTCTATATAGGAAAGTTTGGATACAACGACTCCGTTTGAAATGACATATCGTTTATTATGACCGATTCTCAAGAAATTATATCCGGCTATAGTGACCCAAATGATTAATAATAACATTGTCGCTCATTTTTCTGACCCTTCTTATGNTTAAAATGACATATCGTTTATTATGACTGATTCTCAAGAAATTATATCCGGCTATAGTGACCCAAATGATTAATAATAACATTGTCGCTCATTTTTCTGACCCTTCTTATGTATATTGATATTACAATTCATCATTCTTTTTCTGTTAATAAATGTATACAATTTGTAATTTTTCTCTCTATTAAACTAAATAACTAACCAAACTAGAAAGTTGTTTATTTTCTAAGACTATGATTTGTATGACGCCCGCTTAGTATGACGTGTTTGTCATTTCCCTTCGATGTCATTATAAGCGAATTCTACTGTAGTGCATTCACGAAATAACAGACAGTACCTAATAAATAAATAATATCGAACTATTATCACTACGAAACATCTGAGTCATGCTGCATGTATTTGTATGCAAGTATGCCACATTATACTGACAAAAGTTTGTAGTAAATACAGGATTGTAAATGAATCCTAACGGTATAACGTCGTCAGATGCAAGATTGGTTTGGAAGGACCATCGTAGATTTCCGACTTCCTTGAAATTTTCGAATCCAAGACTTTATCTTGTAAAGTTTAAAGACCCTAACATTTCGTATTTTTGATATTGTCTTGGTTTTCGAGTGGACGATATTCCCCCTTAACTTTCATATAAAGATTTTTTCACATAAATAATAATTTAAAATCCAAACATATTATAACGCCGAGACTCAAAATATTTTATAACAATTTGTCAAGTTTTAGTGACTTCCAAGGAAAACGGCTGTTACTTACATGTATGTGTGTTGTCTGACCATTTCCCTCTTATTAATTCTTGCTGACCACAGACTGATTTCAGACTCAAATACATCAGTTTTATACAACCCGAAATTTATTAAATATGTGTATACTTTGTTATTAATATGTACTATTTATAAAGGGATTTCTAAGTCCACGCTTATGCCTGTAGTTTGGGGTTTGTGAACCCTTTAAATGAGAGAATATGGAATGCTGACCCACCCTGATGAATATTAATTTAACCCGATATAACGTCAAATTTAAAGCCGTAATCTTAATAAAAAACTATATCAGACGATTTTATATAGTGATACAAAAATTATTAGTTTGACCAAATGGAGAGGTTTTGCTTTTTTTTCTTCAGTCAACGTGATTGGTAAATCACAATGAAAAATAACATAGGTATGCACCAAGGCAGGAAATTAATTAGCTACCTGGGACTTTCTTTACTTTTCCTGACAAAAGACTAGGAGTAATATTATCGCAGAGCTCTGAAGGTATTTTATTAATGTGAGAACTATAAATCTTGGTTTGGTCCCTGGCTACGTTCCTGTCGAAAAAGTGCAATTTCTTGAAGAGAAGAATTTGGCCAGTATCGTGATATTTCACGGACCTAAATTTAGTTGTTTTTTTTATTTATTTTAGATTCTAAACGATCTTTTTTCCTTTTCAGTGTTCCGACCAATTTGCCTGTGAAAGAAAACTCCTTACAAACTACTAACTTAACAATATTTTGGACTGCACTTCACACTGAATGGTGAGATTTTGTCTAACATTTTTTTTTTCTTATTAATTATAAAATAAAATTTGCGTTAGGAGGTACTTCGAACTAATCGCGTGCGGAGTTTTCGCTCAGCGTATTGGGTTGTTGACTATAGAAGTGAAATTGTTCTTTCCAAATAATTCACAGTAACTTTGAAAAGGTAGGATACATTTTTTTTACTTTTCTGTAAATTTAAAATTAATTTTTCACTTACTAAACGAGCTGAAGGTACCATAATATATTAGTGTTACTGCGTGACTTCAGTGCACCAAGTAAAAAAAATCATTTTCATGTATTGATAAATTACTTTCTCCCTTATTAAATAGGCTGAAGCTATCAAAATTTATTAAAATTGTTGTGGGGCATCAATGAAAACAATTTAATAGTTGGAAGTTACCGGGGTGGAAGTTCAACTCCTAATTTAAAAACGTCCCCCTTATTTATTAATAAATTAGTTTCTCCCCTATTAAATCAGCTGAAGGTACCAAAATTTATTAGAGTTGTTGTGAAGCATCAGGAAAAAGAATTTATAGTCGCAAATTATTGGGGTGCACTCTAAACCCTCAATTTAAAAACTTCTTTTTTATTTATTGATAAATTAATTTCTCCCTTATTAAATAGACTNGGAATGAAACACCCAAGTTTTTTTTTTCTACTTTTAAGGAAATGCGAAGTTTAGCTCACGATAGGAAAGAGTGGAGGTACGTGACCAACCAGTCTTAGGACTGACGACCCTATGATGATGATGAATAATAGCAGAACATCCACGTCGTTTTATCACAAGCCTTTATTTGCCCCTAGTTAAGCGTATTTTCCACAATTAAAATGAACTTTTATCGGATATTTAATTAGTTAAGCAGAAAAACAAGTTTTTTTTTTATATTGAATATATTTCTATTTGTATATTTGTAACTTTAAATAAATAAATTATTGGCACTTCTAGACTATCAAACAAAGTTAAATACTGTGTATAAAAATATTCTCCAAAGAAAATTGAAACAGTTGATAATATTTTTAGTAGTTGAGATTAACGTTAAGTACGAGTTAATTTTATTTTCAAAAGGTTTTCGTGAAACTAACATGAATTAAATTTTTTTTAACAAGCCTTTAATGTGCTAATTTCACTTTTCTTTGGAGAACGTTTGAATATTAAAAATAAAAAAATTAACATTACTACGTAGTATCTAATTAAATGAAAATTAAACTTTTCGAAATACCTGTTCGGTTATTTTAAATAGAAAATTTCTCTTAATTAACCAATTGCGAACAAGTATTGTAATTAATAGATACATAATTATATCATAATTGTCGAAACTTATATCACTTTCTGTAATTGGACGTTTAGCCAAGCATTGGTTTGTTTTGTTTGTTTTTTTCTTTTGACGGAAACAATTACATATTATGTATATAAACCTAAATGACAGTGACATATTGATATGTATTTACAGAAACATTGGTTAAATAAATGGTGTATCTAGAAGAATACTCTAAACGCGTAAATATAAATACATAGTATGAATACATGTTTAAGTGCGACAACTTAAAATTTAATTTAGTTATTAAATGCAGTTAAAAAGCTGGTTTTCGCGGAATGAGCACCTCTGTTATTAAACAATGTACTCGTCACGTACTCGTATTGGACAGTTTGTCATGTAGCCTACGTTTTATTAAACCAGCTGAAGCAAAAACCAAAAGTTGTTGTGAGGCATCAGTGAAAAGAATTTAACACCTAGAAATTACTAGGATGCAATTTCAACCGTTAATTTAAACACGTCTGTATTTTTTCATAAATTCATTTCTTTATTATGTAGTCTCCTACCGATGCACTGGTGATGAGAATACTTTGCTTTACAGTGGGTGGCCTATACGAAGAACAAGTCGAATTTTAAATTTAAATTAACATGGCATCTTCGCGCGAAACGAAACGAGTTATGAAGATAGAAATACTACAGTTTCAGCCGTAATTAGTAAGCAACTAAATTATTTGTTTTTAATAACATAATCCAGTAAATTTGTTTCATACATAAACAGTCTAAGAAAATAATTGATTTCATAACACTAAACACTGTTGATGTAAATCAATGTTTTTCACATTATTTGTCCCAATTTAGATATTTATAAGGAGACGAGAGTATAAAATTGTAATAAAGTAATAATGCATGTACGTGAAAAATAACAATGTGTGCGTGTATTTCGTAAATTTTTAAATTTAAATTTTTGATTTAAATCGCGAATTCGATTCACCCATGTATGCTCCATTCATATGTTAACTAAGTATCCACATTAATAGTATTTTTAATTAATTTACTTGGAAACATTGTATTAATTGTTAAAATTGATAAGTAGTTAAAATGTGCTTTGGGGTAATTTTTTATTAGTATAATTGAACACACCTATAAAATCTATTATCTATGTACTACAAGTATAGAAGGAACTTTCATCTATAGGCTTCCAGCTCGTTTCATCTTCATGTCTATGATCTTCATCTTGTCCATAGATAATAGATCTTGTCCGATCTTCGAGGAGATGACATGCCATCATTTTTGCTGTCCGTAAATGGAAACAACGCCTGAAGGTATTTAACCCTAATCCTTATTCGATTTTATTTTATTGTGTGAAATGCGTTTCAATTTAGTGATTGATGGATTTCAATTAACATTGCTTCGATTTTTTTTTGTATGAATGAATTCGGTGGCGTGATGGTTTCGTTCACCAACAAGGGGTCCACCTTTGCAACTTGTCTGTCGTCTCATTTAATGTGAAATTTGTAAATTCTTAGTTTATTAGAGGTCGAATAGTTAAGGTTTTGTACGAATTTTTGAATTTTGGAAACAAGTTTATGCGATGATTGTAGATTTTTCATTTGATGTGATCACGCCGAGAGGATTTGCTTTCGTTTTATAGCCAAAATATGTAAATTTCTTAATACTATTATTTTGCTTTTAAAATCCTAAATTTCTTTCAAAAAGATTTTCATTTTTGCCTTGATATTCTACAGATTAGGTTTTAACGGCTTGTTTTTTTTTTCTGTATATAGACTTGCTTTGAGATGATATCCTTGGATTCAAGGGACAAACTACTTGTAGCAACCAGTCATATTTTTATTACCAAAAATGTTTGTAATCAGCTGGTCAAAAAAATCATAGGACACAGGGTGCTTACAATGGTAATTATCATTAATAATAAAATAATAACAAATCTAGTTAATATACAACTAATGATATTAAATTGTTTTAACAGGTGTCTACTAAAACATATTAAATGTACATGGAGAGGATTAATCAAAGGGGAAATGTGGAGAAGCAAGGTCTCCAAACATGCTTGTTTTGCATGGTTATGAAAATGGGTTGTTTGTAAAAAAGGGTAAGGAATCTTTAATAATTTTATGAAGTTATACTTATGAAATGATTCATGATTTTCCAAATCTTGTATTCCATTTGTTTGACAATAATTACCAGTATAAATTTTTACACTTCTGAATTGTAATAGTTAAGTATTGATTTTGATAGTGTTAGTTATGGTTCTTAATATTTTAAAACGTGATATTTAAAATGAAGCTCACATTAAATTATTTCAACAGGATGTCATTTAAACATATTAAATGAAGAAGAAGACAAAAAGTAAAAAGGATTCAAAACGTGGAGAATTGGAGCCCCATTTAATGTTCCCTCCCCTTGGCTGTGAAAGGTGCGATTTTTAGAAAATATATGCAGTCCGATTTACACTGATGCGTATAACGTTGCAAGCGATGTGTGGCTCAGCTACCGTTAAGAAACACTTTTCTTTATCAACGCTTAGAAATAAATCTCGAGTACCGTAGAGTAATCCTCCAGGTAAGCAATTGTTTTTCTATTATATTGAAGTTACTTCTATTTCATAGTAATTTGCCATCTGTGGCATGTATGGTTTTACTTCTAACAGTTATCTATTGTTGACAGCATAAGTCGATGTTATCGTGTATCTATGGGGTTCTCTTTTAACTATCCACTGTATGAATTGACATCGTGCATCTACGGTTATTTCTATTGCCTTTAACTTTTATCTATGACATGAATAAAGTTGACATTTCATCGCCATTTTATAATTTAGGTGTTTTACTTGCGCTTTTGTGCATTATTTTACTTAGTTTAAATCCCTTTTTTAATTGATTGTGTAACTAATACTCTTTTTTGTCCATCTCTACAGATCGTCTGACAAATGGGAGAGAAATAAAGTTCAGGTTGATGGTANCACCCCTCGCCTATGAAGCAAAACTGAAAATTTTGTTAAATCTGAAAATTTGTATTAGGAGAGCATAAGTTGCAAAAGGTCTTTTTAAAAGTACTTTTTTGAATTTTTTTTCCATAACTTTTCGACCGGCCTTCGTATATGAAGCAAAACTGAAAATTTTGTTAATTCTGAAAATTTGTATTAGGAGAGCATAAGTCACAAAAGGTCTTTTTAAAGGTATTAATTTTTAGCGCGGGATCAACTATGTCGCAGTCTTGTTTTTCGTTTTTCTACATCGTTCGGCAATGAAACGATTAATTGCACTAGTATTATCAAAATTTATGTTCACTTCCAGTATTACAACTATAAATTAAATTTCTCAATAGATGTCTTAGTGTTATTTTTAATAAGTGAAACGCTGTTTACATCAAAACGAGGTTTATTTAGCAAATATTGTAATTTAATAAAAAAAGGTTTGTTCAATAATACATTTATTGTTGCAAATTAATAGCATTTATAATAAATACAACGTATGAACATTAACAGATATGTATTTCAAATAACAACAATACATCAGACAAAATTAAAAACACTCTATTTATTTATTTATTTATATACTAAAGAACGATAATACAATGAAAATACATGTATTATTTACAAATATAATTTACATTTATTATAACAAAGTACAAATTTGTTTCAAATAACAACAATACATCAATATAAACAAAATATCTAAGATATAATACATTCTAACGACTTCTAAAAATTAAAAATAAAATACCTTTAAGAGAGACAAGAAAATCAATAAAATTTCAAAGAAAATACAATTACTATGCATAAACTGTCATACCACTATTATTTAAATGCAAGATTAGGGAGAAAAAAGCCTCCCTAACCTTCTGTGGCCTCCGCATCTCCCCTTATAGCCACCCTATCCGCCCAAAACGAACATTAATTTTGAAAGCGTAAACAAATAATTAATTTAATTTAACAATTACACCAAAAAATCAATTTAGAAACATTTTAAATATCAACCTAAGTTATGATTATAAAGATATAACAGTTTATGCAGTAAAAAACAAAATACCTGTAAGAGAAAGACAAGAAAACACATGAAATTTCAAAGAAAATACAATAAAAAGCAAACAATACGATGTCTTCAGTCTTCTTCGGTTACCTGAAAGCGAATAGTGCAATTACAAGGACTAACGACAAATACTAATAGCTTTGGTAGAGAAGATCGGACAGATTTCGCCAAGGCAAGCTGGGCAGTCGCCTATTGCTCCTATTCCAGATAACCCACTGTACCCTGTCTGAAAGGAAGTAACGCTAGAGTAGACTCGCGAAAAGTGTATAAGACACTTTTAAGATCAACTAAATAGCTAAGCCCAAGGGAAGTCGTTCGGGGAGGCCCTCCCTAATTCCACAAGGGTGAGAAGAAACACACACGATAACGAAACGTTGAATCATGTAGAACTCGTAGGGTAAATGCAAAGCAAAATAGGAAGAATATGCAGTAAGCTAAGCGAAGAGGTAAGCAAGGTTAGACTATACTACAACTACTAAACGTGTTATTTCTACTACTACACTACTACAACATACAAAAAAAAATAAAAACATCTACAATCAACAATTACTTCAAATAAAATGAACAAAAACAAGCATGCAAAATAAAAATTAATTTAAAAAACAAATAAACTACAAAAATACATGCAAAATAAAAAACTAATTTGAATAAAATGAACTTGATGACTTCTACTACATAAAGCATGCAAGATAGAGAACTATTTTAACTATGGGGTCATCTTTGTCTTCTCCAACGTCGATCTGCAACAGATACGGTGGTAACAGATTAATAAGGAGCAATTAAAATTAATAATATCAAGTATTCTCACCTTAATTAACTGTAGACTGTAATGTTCTAAAGTTTGCAGATGTGAAAAGCAAATCAAATCCAAGAGGAATGCCAATGCAGAAAATTTGTTATTTCAGTAGAATTCGCATAAATCTTCAGTTGCTCTCACTCATCACTTGAAAATTAACTGCATAATGTTGCAAGGTGAAGACAGCTAATCAAGATTGTAATACACCAAAGGCAGCACCATTGTAAATATTGTTTCAGTACCACCAATCTGAACTTTAATTCTCTCCCATTTGTCAGACGATCTGTAGAGATGGGCAAAAAAAAAGTATTAGTTATACTATCAGCTACAGAACGGATGTTTAAATTAAGTAAAATATGTAATATAACTAAAAACATGTACAAAAACGAAAGCAAAACAGCTTACTATAAAATGGCGACGAGATGTCAATTTTATTCGTCATAGAGGCTATAGAAATAACAGTAGATGTACGATGTCAATTTATATACTGGACAATAGATAGTTAAAAGAGAACCCCATAGATGCACGATAACATAGATTTATGCTGCGAATAGATAACTGTTAGAAGTAAAACCATACATGCCACAGATGGCAAATTGCTATGAAAACTAAGTAACTTCAATATAATAGAAAAACAATTGCTTACCTGGAGGATTACTCTACGGTACTCGAAATTTATTCCACACATCCCATTGCAATCGTATATGCATCAGCGTAAATCGGACTGCACATATTTTTTAAAAATCGCACTTTTCACAGCCAAGGGAAGGAAACATTAAAGGGGCTCCAATTCTCCAGGTTTTGAATCCTTATTTTTTGTCTCCTTCTTCATTTAATATGTTTAAATGGCATCCTGTTGAAATAATTTAATGTGAGCTTCATTTTAAATATCATGTTTTAAAATATTAAAAACCCTAACTAACACTAATCAAATAATAGACTATTAAAATCAACACATAACTATTGCAATTCAGAAGTGTAAAAATTTATAGTGGTAATTATTGTCAAACAAATGGAATACAAGCTTTGAAAAATCATGAATCATTTTGTAAGTACAACTTCATAAAATTATTAAAGATTTCTTACCCTTACTCTTTCTACAAACGACCCATTTCCGTAACCACGCGAAAGAATCATGATTGGAGACCTTGCTTCTCCACATTTCCCCTTTGATTTACCTTCTCCATGTACATTTATTATGTTTTAATATAAACCTGTTAAAACAATTTAATATCATTAGTTGTATGTTCACTAGATTTGTTATTATTTTATTATTAATGATAATTACCATTGTTAGCACCCTGTGTCCCATGAATTTTTTGACCAGCTCATTACAACCATTCTTGGAAATAAAAACATGTCTGGTTGCTACAAGTAGTTTGTCCATTGAATCCAAGCATATCATCTCAAAGCAAGTCTATATACAGAAAAAAAACAAGTCGTTAAAACACAATCTCTAGAATAACAAGTGATAATTTTTTTAACAGAAATTTAGATTTTTAAAAG